AACATAAAGCACTGTTTTTATTTTTTTATTTATTACTGTAATTTATTATAATTTATGCAGATGCACTGCAAAGAAAAAGACTTGATGATCCCAGTCGATGTAAATGAATGAAATCTTTCCAAAAAAGTCATTTGGTAAAATTATAGTCATATAGCAGTATATACAGCGGCAAAACAAAATATCACAATGTCAGATTTTTCCAATATCATGTATAGCCTTAATTTAGGTTAAATATGCGCATGTGTAAATAAGACTGGAGTGCAACACTTACATTAAATTTTATCTTCAGGTGAGCTAATTTATTACATTAAAACATCACTGAAATATATTTTGTTTTGTGTTCAATGGAAGTGACGTGGAGTGAGTTAAAGGGATAGTTCACGCAAAAATGAACACTTATGTTGGAAATTGATAGCATTTGACATCCATAGAGGACAATTATTTACAATGGAAGTCGATGGTTACCCATGTACAACACTCTTCAAAATATCTTCTTTTGTGTTCAAGTGAAAGCTGAGTAAATTGGGGGGTTGCTTTTTTTTTAGGTGAACTATCACTTTAATGATGATTGTTTCTTAATTATTTTTTTAATAAGTCAAGTCTTTAAGTCTGTTTATTTGGATGTGTCACTAAGAGAGATGTTTAATTACTTGCTGACACTTGCTCATCGTACAGTCAGTGTCTAAAATAATATGTCTGTAAAACTGAATGTACAGTAAGAGGATATAATATCTCTACAATTCAACTTGGAATTCTGGCCTACAGGCATTAAAACAGGTTTAACAAGAGCCGAGAGATGGAGAAGGTGTAAAAATGACACATTATGCAGTAATGGCACACATATGAACATCCACGTCACACTGATGTGTTTCCACAGGTATGTGAGAGTCATTGGATTTAATGGGGATCATATCTCAGTACCTGCTAACCGTGAGTAGCATTCACAGTGTTTGTGTGTACATACTACAGTGGTTGCCATGTGCTTTTTAAAGGTCCCAAGAAATGTGAATAATGTTTTAATGATGTCAGTATCAGTATGTTTGACTTAAGGAAATCGATAAGCTATAGTGTGCTGCAAAACAGTGACAAAATTTGCATTAAGAATACATAAACATACAAAGCTTGCAGTTTGTCACTTCCACCTAAATGGACCAACTATTTTTTGATGTCTCCTCATACTTCAGCTTCTCATCAAATCTTCTTTTGCTCTCTTACTATCTGACATAGTATCCCATTTGCTTTTCATTTGATGCGCTTGAGCTCAACCACTCTCACTGGCAGTACTGTAATAAAAATAAAATGCTATTATGCTATTATCAGTTGAGATTATGGGCTCTATTTTGATGATCCATGCGCAAAGTCCAAAGCGCAGGGCGCAGAAGCATTCAGGGCGTGTCAGAATCCACTTTTGCTATTTTAAGGACGGAAAAATCCGCTTTGCGCCATGGCGCATGGTCTAACAGGGTTGAGCTTATTCTCTTAATGAGTTATAGGTGTGCTTTGAGAATAAACCAATCAGAGTCTCATCTCCCATTCCCTTTAAGAGTTAGTTACGTCAGACCATAGCGCATTTGCTATTTAAATGGTGGACTTTGTAAATGTAAAAACTCATGCTTTACTAGCGAGAAAACAGTTAAACAGAGCATCTGCAGCGCGAGGATGAGAGATGAGCCTCCTCATTCTTTACTTTCACTTTCACTCTCGTGGATAGGGAAACCTTGTATGCACAGACACCATTAGCCTATACTTAATTAATTTAGTTTGTTAAGCGCAAAGATTTGTTTCAAAACAATTTCTAAATTCAGTTCTAATTTCCAGCAAACAAATAAAGGAACAATAATAACGAAGTGTGTTCAAACAACTGAGTTATATCCAAATACACATGCTGCCCCATATGGTCTAAAACCTGACAGGTGGGCAAATAAGCTTGTTTTTAATAAAACAAATATAAATATGGATATAATAAATAATACAGCTAATAATGATAACATTATACAAAAGCAAATTGTTATGAATAAAATGAAAAAGCCTCCCGAGATGAAGAAGGCATGAAAGTATGGATTTTATATTTATGTAGAAAATAAATTTTTTTGTAATATTTTATTCCTTTAATTCTTTTTCGTTTGTAAAGATATTTGTTTTCCCAGAGATGGGTTGCGGCTGGAAGGGCATCCGCTGCGTAAAAACTTGCTGGATAAGTTGGCGGTTCGTTCCGCTGTGGCGACCCCGGATTAATAAAGGGACTAAGCCGACAAGAAAATGAATGAATGAATGAAATATATTTGTGTATTGCTGTACAACCTGTGTGTATTAAGCAGTGTGTGAGCGAGGCGCACAACTAACGTGCTCTGCGCTAGACTTTAGACCTGCTTTGATCTGGTCTATTGAACAGTTAAATATGGACCCAATTTATTAATTCATTCATTCATTTTCTTGTCGGCTTAGTCCCTTTATTAATCTGGGGTCGCCACAGCAGAATGAACCGCCAACTTATCCAGCACGTTTTTATGCAGCGTATGCCCTTCCAGCCGCAACCCATCTCTGGGAATCATCCACAAACACACACACATACACTCACTCACACTACGGACAATTTAGCCCACCCAATTCAACTGTATTGCATATCTTTGGTCTGTGGGGGAAACTGGAGCACCCGGAGGAAACCCACGCAAACGCAGGGAGAACATGCAAACTCCACATAGAAACGCCAACTGAGCCGAGGTTCCAACCAGCGACCCAGCGACCTTCTTGCTGTGAGGCGACAGCACAACCTACTGCACCACTGCATCGCTCGGACCCAATTTAAGTAAATTTAAATGACATGATTTGCTGATATGCTGCTTTAAAAATGTAGCGAATTTTGACGCTATCGCCAGTGGACAAGTAAAGCTACAAAGCGTTGTCACCAGTGCAGCCAGAGCGAACTTTGACGCTCTTGCGGTCTTCAGTGTGAACACACAGTTATTTCACCCAACATTGGGTTATAACATCAACAGCATTTTTGTAGAATAAAAGAAAGAAAGAAATTGCGTAAAACTGGATAAGTTGGCGGTTCAGTCTGCTGTGGCAACCCCAGAATATTAAAAGGACTAAGCCAAAAAGAAAATGAATGAATGAAAATAGATATAATTAAACAAAAAATAAACAACTCATTCATTCATCACATTCCTTCGGAATGTCTCTTATTTATCAGGGGTCACCACAGCAGAATGAACTGCCATCAAGCAACTAGAATAAAGTAAACACAGCTAGATTGACAAAAAGGTTAATATTTGTGTAAATAAAGGCAGCACAATGACAAAAATGTTTTGCAACTTTATAAAAACTATATATTTTATAAACAATATTTTGGATTAACATAAAACATCAATATTTTCACAAAACTGCGTTTTTGTAGTGTACATGAAGACAATGACAGTTCTAAACAAATGCTGGGTTGCTTTAACAAAAACCCAATCATTGGTTTAAAAAAATATAATTTAAATTGAATTGAAAAAATAAAATCCAATGTTGGCTTTATCAAAACTTGGCCCAACATTTGCATTAAAAACAGCATTTCTAGAGAGTATTATTTTAAAAACCTGTCGCTTAAAAACAAGTTAGCTTCTTATTTTAGGCCGCAAAAGTGTAAATTAATAAAATAATATGTATTTTATTTTCAGTTTTAAACTTACAGTGGTGTCATTAAAATACCCCCTAATATTTACAGTAACATTAGTTTGTTCTATTCACTTATTTAAAGTACAAGCAACTGTAGTAGTTATTACTAAACTTAAAATCTGTTTACACAACAATGCACTAGAAAAGTTTCACATACAGACAACAAAATAGTCCAAATCAACCCCTGTATTATGCATTGACAATGTCATTTTGTAATTATTATTACTATTATTATTTTTTTTTTTATTATTACTATTATTTGGTTCATAATTTTGTAATAAATAATTTTCAACAATTTCAACAACCATTATCAAAAGATTGCAAACAAACAACAAAACACATTAAATTATGACCATTTTCAGTTGTAAACACAGCTTATAAAATCACAAGCACAGGTCCTTTTACTACTATCATTTACCTCTATCCAGACTTTTCTAGATTTGTAAAATAAACCAAGAGGTGTAAACAAGTCAGCGCAAGTTTATTTCCCTATAAGTTCTCCATAAAGGTGAGTCTGGAATCCTGCCCTGTAGATTAAGAGGCTGTTCATACATGCACTTAAAGATGACTCTTTCATATGGGTGTGAGGACAGTAAGTGCTTTATGTTTTTGTAGGAGAAACAGGGTGTGCTGAGGTGTGTGTACCTGCTATTTTAAGTCAGCAAGAATTCAGAATTGACTATTTTTGTGCATAATTCAGTCACAACCACTTAAAATCAAGTCCTGCCCCATACACTTTTCTTCATTGTACTGTAAATCCAGTTTTGGGTCTGGAAAAATATTTAATATTACTGAGTTAAATTAACGCTGTTCATGTTACATTTTTACTGTCAAACCTCCATCTTGTGTCTGAATAATGCGCAGGTTAGTGTATACTCCATCAGCTGTTTTAGTTTGTGTCAGTTTTGTGTTTTTGAAAGTTTGGCGCCATCTTGTGTCTGAATAATGTGCAGGTTAGTGTATACTCCATCAGCTGTTTTAGCTTCTGTCAGATTTGCGTTTTTGTCTGTTTGGCGCTATCATGTGTCTGAATAATGCTCAGGTTAGTGTATACTCCATCAGCTGTTTTCATTTTTGTCAGCTTTGTGTTTGGCTGTTTGGCGCCATCTTGTGTCTGAATAATGTGCAGGTTAGTGTATACTCCATCAGCTGTTTTAGCTTCTGTCAGATTTGCGTTTTTGTCTGTTTGGCGCTATCATGTGTCTGAATAATGCTCAGGTAAGTGTATACTCCATCAGCTGTTTTCATTTTTGTCAGCTTTGTGTATGGCTGTTTGGCGCCATCTTGTGTCTGAATAATGTGCAGGTTAGTGTATACTCCATCAGCTGTTTTAGCTTCTGTCAGATTTGCGTTTTTGTCTGTTTGGCGCTATCGTGTGTCTGAATAATGTGCAGGTTAGTGTATACTCCATCAGCTGTTTTCTTTTCTGTCAGCTTTGCATGTAATTAAAGAATTAATAAACGATTACAGCTTAGAACAATGTTTTGTGGCAAGTAGCCATGTAATAAGTAGAATAAAGTCCATCCAGAAGGGTTGTTTTCGCAGAATAAAGCCCCTCAGTCTTACACAATAGCCCTCAGCTTCACATTGATAAGCCGATAAAACTGTCAGGCTTTATTCTGCGATAACAACCTCTTGGATGTACTTTTTTATGGCCAACCTAAATAATGGGACCTGATTGTAAAGTGTTCCTGTCTTCCTCTGTTTATAATACAGAAGCTGGTGAGTTTGTCTCTTGGAGATGATGGTGTGGACACTGTTGAAGAGGCTCTTTCATGGATTTCTCTTCTCATTGATTCTAATCGGGTGTCCAGGGCTGAGGTCCTTCTTGAGGTCCGGACCAATAGAGTCATCCTGAGAGACACAAACTACCAGGTAAGCATTTACAACAAAAAAACTGAGCAACTTGCATGCAATACTGTTACAAAGAATCAAAGCTCATTCAAATCATATCCATGCATTTATCATATGCTTGAGATTATTATAAATCACTACATCTAAATTTGAATGTGGTGAGGCATGGTGGCTCAGTGGTTAGCATTGTCGCCTCACAGCAAGAAGGTTGCTGTTTCGAGTCCCGGCTGGGTCAGTTGGCATTTCTGTCTGGAGTTTGCATGTTCTCACCGTGTTGGCGTGGGTTTCCAAACGCATGTGCTATAGGTGAATTGGATGAACTAAATTGGCTGTTGTGTATAAGTGTGTGTGCTTGTGTGAATGCGAAAGTGAATGGGTGCTTCCCAGTAGTGGGTTGTGGCTGGAAGGGCATCTGCTGCGTAAAACATATGCTTTAATAATTGGCGGTTCATTCCACTGTGGCCAACCCCTGATAAATAAGGGACTAAGCCTAAGGAAAAGACTCAAAAACATCTATATTTTCTCTTATTGTATACTCTGTAAAAAATATCTGTTCACATTTTCACAGGTTGTGGATATCATTATGGGATGTTGATCTCGGCTCTGCCAGCTTTTGATGTTGAAAATTTAACTCTACAGTTTAACAAAGTGACTTTTATTGACATTTTAGTACTTTGAAATAATATAATGTGTAAGAAATAATGTCTAGAGAAATAAGTCTGTAAAATAACAGAGAATGTACTGGCAGTTTATGACAAGGTTTTTTTAGTGTAATATACAACACCAACCCTGACAATATAGCACTTTAAACTATTACAAATTGTAAGAAAAGTCACTTTTTTAGGTTAAAGGTTGATGGAAGAAAGAGCAAGGTTCTATAATGCAATCAAAAGATAAAATCAGGGGCAAAATAAAAACATGAATCACAATACAGACTGTATTTTCTGGATATTTAGGGATAGTGTAAAGTAGTGGTCACCAAACTTGTTCCTGGAGTGCTGGTGTCCTGCAGATTTTAGCTCCAACCCTAATCAAACACACCTGAACAAGCTAATCAACGTCACGAGGTATACTTGAAACACCCAGGCAGGTTTGTTGAAGCAAGTTGAAGCTAAACCCTGCAGGAACATCGGCCTTCCAGGACCGAGATTGGTGACCCCTGGTGTAAAGTAAAGAATATTATTTTGATTATGGCATGTAGGAACAATTTAACTTCAATGTAGCGCAATGTAAGCTTCTATGTATTAAAGCAGGGGTTCTCAACTGGTTTGCCCATGGGACTTTTTACATGGTCATCAAGTCGCGACCCAAACGTTTAGGAACTATAGTACAGTTTTAGGAATTAAACTTCATTTGTATTAATTTGTTAACATACACAAGTAATGACAGATAAATCATTAGAAATTCACCAAGACTTACAAATAAACAATATTTTATTGCTGTCATTTAACAAAATGGATAAAATTATAGAAATATTACAAAGTAAAAACGACAAATACTGTTAAAAATTTTTTAATTTAGAAGGTTTCATGCTCTCTTTTGAGAGCACCTCACTACATATGACACTGAGGCTTTAAGACTTTTTAATATAAATCCATACTATACATATTCGGGGTTGTACTTGCGCTTCGACATATTTGTTGCAATAATTAAATGAAATTTCACATGTCAAACGGTAGGGTTGTCGCGCACGATTTCAAAATAAAAGTCCGGTATAAGCAAAATAAATAAGTTGAGAAACACTGCACTAAAGCATCTACTGTGCAAACTCATTTATTCATTCATTTTCCTTCGGCTTTGTCCCTTTATTCATCAGGGGTCCCCATAGCGGAATGAACCGCCAACTTATCCATGATATGTTTTACACAGCGGATGCCCTTCCAGCCACAACCAAGTACTGGGGAACACCCATACACTCTTGCATTCTCACACATAAACTACGGCCAATTTAGTTTTACTGTGTAAACTTTCATGCACAAACCTAAAATAATTTACACTGTAAAAGTATCTGTAAATTCACAGTTTTATATTTTAAATCCTTTTAAATTGCATTACCTTGATCTTTTCTCCAGCAACATTTATTGTTGAAAAATGTAAAGAAATCACTTGTGTTGACATTTTTAAAATCGTTTGAAGTCATATATTGCCTGGGTTGGTGCAAAACCTATAATGAAAGCCAATCGAAAACAAATATTTTTTAAGGGGGATAATAATATTGACATTAAAATAGTTTTAAAAACTGTAAAGCTGTATTTAATATATATATATATATATATATATATATATATATATATATATATATATATATATATATATATATATATATATATATATATATATATATATATATATATAGGACTTTAATAAATAAATAAGACTAAAATAAATAAGACTTTCTCCAGAAGATAAAATATTATTGGAAATACTGTGATAAATTCCTTGTGCAATTAATTATTTTCATTCATTTTCCTTCGGCTTAGTCCCTTTATTCATCAGGGGTCGCCACAGTGGAATGAACCACCATCTTATCCAATATATGTTTTACACAGCGGATGTCCTTCCAGCTGCAACCCAATACTGGGAAACAACCATACTCTTTCACAAACACGTATACACTACGGCCAATTTAGTTTATTCAATTGACCCATGTGTTTGGACTGTGGGGGAAACCAGAGCACCCAGAGGAAGCCCACACCAACACGGGGAGAATATGCAAACTCCACACATTAATGCCAACTGGCTCAGCTGGGACTCGAATGAGTGATCTTCTTGCTGGGAGGCGACAGTGTTACCCACTGAGCCATCATGCCGCCCAAATTCAGTTTTTGTCTATATTTTAAATGCTTTTTAATTGCATTATGGGACCTTGATCTTTTCTCCAACATCTTTTGATGATAAAAAATGTAAAGAAATTACTTTTATTGACATTTTAAATATAGTTTGAAGTGATATATTGTCTGGGTTGGCGCAAAAACCTATTATAATAGGCCTGTAATAACAGCCTATCGAAAACAAACGTTACATAAAAGGGCTAATAATATTTGACCTTAAAATGGTTTTAATAAAATTAAAAACTGCTTTAATTCTAGCTTTAAAAAAAAACAAATTAAACTTTCTCCAGAAGAAAAAATATTATGGGGATTACTGTGAAAATTTCTTTGCTCCATTAAACATCACTTGAAAGATATTTAAAAAAGAATGAATTATATACATAATTTTGACTGTATATAAATAAAGCCATTCTTCTCTGACTGACCATTGATAAGGAGCTGGAAGAGTTGTCGGTGTCATCTCTCCTCCGCTGTGAATGCATAAACACCCCATCTCTCCATCCTCATCTTCATCCTCATCCAGCTCTTCTCCTTCTGGTTTCTCAGAGCTGCACCCAGAAGAAACCGAGCGTGTATTTCTTCACCTGTGAATCCATCAAAGTAAAAACCCCGTTTGATTATGAATGCAGGTGATACTGTTTTGCTTAAGCCCCGCCCCCTCCTCAGTGACATCCCTCTGTTTGCTCATTTCAGGCCGAGCGCATTAGAGATGACATCAAGCGAGCTGTTTCGCATTACACAATCCCATCCAGCAGGTACTGATCTCTTCTCCTCGGCTAATGTTGTGATTTCCACAGTCTAGAACCTGTTAGTGTGCAGGTGAACCGGTTTGACCAGTTTCTACATAACTTGTGAAGGCGTGACTGAGAGTACAGGGAGGGAGAGAAAGAGAGAGAGATTTGCAGAGGGAACGACAGAGAGATTTACTTGACTTCAGCTGTTCTTTAGGACACTTACAAGGCGACTAGGATTGGAGTAAGGTACAGTGTGTTCTTCATCTGTTCTGAATGTGCTTTTTAGATTTAGTAAATAAGATAAACTGGATGTGTATGTCTGTGTGTGCTTCTTTGTGTGCGGGTTGATAGTGGGAGAGACAAAGTGAAGTTAAATGTCAAGGCATCTCAATGTCAAACTGAATGCCAAACATGTTTTCTGGAGTGAGAATTTTTTATGAATGAGTGAGTGTGTGTGTGTGTGTGTGTGTGTGTGTGTGTGTGTGTTGGGGGGGGGGGGGGTTGACTTTAGACTTATCGAGGATGTAAGTGAGAAATTAGATTTAAATTTAATAATCAAATGTAGATTTTTAATTAAATTAATTAAAAATATTTATTTTGTGTTTAAAAATGCTGGACGTTATAATATCGCTGGACGTTACGTTATGTTAGGGTTTTGGGAGATTGTGTGATAAATGTAAATATCTTCATTTGAAAACAATAGAACTCACGTCTTAATGTGCTGCCTGTTGCTTTAGTTTGGACTGAATAATTTTCATAGTTTAGTGAACGCATTTAAATGGGTTTAATAATTTATTGTATTTTTATTTTTTATTAGATTAATTATTTATTTTTATGCAGCTTAGTAAATGCACTAAACATATTTAATTGTTGTCTTTATTTTTATTAATTTAGTCTTTGTCATTTATTTGTAGCTTAGTGAACGCATGTAAAGGTGTTTAATCATTGTCTTTATTGTTTTATTTTTAATTTGATTATTTATTTTTATGTAGCTTAGTAAATGCACTAAATATTTTATCATTGTGTATATTTTATTATCTTATTTAGTCTTTGTGATTAATTTTTTTATAGCTTAGTAAATGCATTTAAAAGTCTTTAATCATTATCTTTATTGTATTTTTATTTTTTATTTGATTATTTATTTATTTTTATGAAGCTAAATGCACTAAAAGTGTAAAAATCTTTGTCTTTATTTTGTTATTTTATTTAGCCTTTTAAATTAATTTTTATATATCTTAGTGAATGCATGTAGAAGTGTTTAATCATTGCCTTTACTGTACTTTTATTTCATTTTTTATTTGATCTTTTATTTATTTCATGTAGCTTAGTGAATGTACTAAAAGTGTTTAAATGTTGTCTTTATTTTATTATTTAGTCCTTTTAATTTATCTTTTATAGCTTAGTAAATGCACTAAAACGTGTTTAATTGTTGTCTTTACTTTGTTATTTTATTTTGTCTTTTTAATTTTCTATAGCTTAGTAAATGCATGTAAAAGTGCTTAATCATTGTCTTTATTGTATTTTTATTTTTTAATTGATTATTTATTTATTTTATGTAGATTAGTGAATGAACTAAAAATGTTTATTCATTAAATTTCTTTTTGTTATAATTTTATTTATAGTCTTTTATTTATTGTTTAGTGAATGCACTAAACAGTGTTTAATCTTTGTCATTATTTTATTTTATTTAGTCTTTTATCTATTTTTATAGCTCAGTAAATGCACTAAAATTGTTTGTTCGTTGAATATTTTTGTTATAAATTAATTAATTTTTCTATAGCTTAGGTAATGCACTAAAAAGTATAATATATATATATATATATATATATATATATATATATATATATATATATATATATATATATATATATATATATATATATATAATTTATTTTTAATTATTTATTTTGCCTTTTGTCTTTTTTTAATATAGCTTAGTGAATGTACTAAAATCGTTCTTTATTTTATTTTTGTTATTATTTACGTATTATCATTGTTTATTATTTTTTATATTTATTCATATATATTTATTAGTCTTTTATTTATTTTTTTATAGCTTAGTAAATGCAAAAAAAGTGTTTATTAATTTTTTATTTTTTGTTTTGTTTTTAAAAGATTTTTTATACTTTAATATATGCACTAAAAAGTATTTTTAGTAGATATGGTAAAAAATTTTATTATTTAATTTAGTCTTTTGCATTTTTTTAACACTATAGTGAATGTACTAAAAAATAATTTAATAGTTGCGTTTATTTTATTTTTTTGTCATTTTTTTCGTTTCTCTTCATTCATTTATTCATTTTCTTGTTGGCTTAGTCCCTTTATTTATCCTGGGAGCGGAATGAGCCGCCAACTTATCCGGCACGTTTTTACGCAGCGGATGCCCTTCCAGCCACAACCCATCTCTGGAAAACATCCACACACACATTCACACTCATACACTTCGAACAATTTAGCCTACCCAATTCACCTGTACCGCATGTCTTTGGACTATGGGGGAAACCAGAGCACCCCACGAACGCAGGGAGAACATGCAAACTCCACACAGAAATGCCAACTGACCCAGCCGAGGCTCAAACCAGCGAACTTCTTGCTGTGAGGCGACAGCAATACTTACTGCGCCACTGCGTCACCCTTCGTTTCTATTATTTCATTATTTTATTCTTATTTTTTACTTTAGATCATTATAACGCTTTTTCCCCTCATGAATCTCTCATATGTGCTAGTTAATACGTGCATGATTTTTTTCTTATCAAAGATGTTTGATGTATTTTTGGTGACTCAACAGCATTGTGTGCCAACAATTAAAGCACATTTGGATTTAAAGTACATTGTGACGCACATGTCTGCAATACTGTAAATCCGGTCATTGTCCGGCTGAGTACAACACACACTTTCATTCTGAATAAAGGGTGTGTTTTTTTCCATGTAAACGTGTGTTTCAGGAACTCAGAGTCCAGTATGGATATTTCAGAAATACCCAGCCCTCCTTACACCCAAGCCCCAAATCCACCCGCATCGCACCCGCCTCCACCCTACCCAGGCATCAGAGGTGTGTGAATCAGAAGTAGTAATAGTATATGAATTAATATAAGCAGACACAGACTAACACACTCTTCCTCATTTCTAGCTAATGGATTGGTAAACGGCCAACCTGATAAATCTTTCCTTAAAGCTCAGATGGAAGTGGTGAGTATTTATTTAACTAGTTTCACTTTAATTTTCACTTTTTGTTGATCATTGCTGAAGCTTTTGTGTGTTGCAAAAACTTTACACACATTCCTTCATTCATTCATTTTCTATTCGGCTTAGTCCCTTTATTAAGTAGGGGTCGCCACAGCGGAATGAACCGCCAACTTATCCAGAATATGTTTATCAGTGGATGCCCTTTCAGCTGCAACCCATCAATGGGAAACAACTTTACATACATATAAACAAAAAAAAATTATATATCATATTCTTTTATATCGAAACAATAATTTGCAAAAAAAAAAAAAAAATTCTGTACATAAATATAAACAAAACCAATATTTTGATAATTGCTAAAGCCTTTATTCATGGTGTCCGCTGGGTCTTTAAATGTCTTAAATTGTCACAACTTAAATTTGAGGCCTTAAAAGGTCTAAAATTCACTGACACATTGGGTTGCAGGTCTTAAATTGTTTTAAACAGGTCTTAATTTTATTTTGTCTTATTAAAGTTTCATATTGCATAGGCGACACTGTGGTTCCTTCCGCTGTGGCGACCGATGATAAATAAAGGATTATGCTGAAGAAATAAATGAGTTAATTAATGTTGAAAATTGCTAAGGTCAATATTATTAGCAACCTTAAGAAATATATATAATTTTTTCAAGTGTTGTCCAATCCCAGCAGGCACAGGACGTCAATATGACGTCAGATTTACGTTGTACCCCAACATCATCAGGACGTTGAATTTTGATTGGTTAATGCCACAAGTTTAAACCAATCAAAGATCACCATCTATTGATGTTAGACTTTGACATTGTATGGATGTCACATTATGACATTTAAATGACGTTATGCTTTGGTTGGTTAATTCCACAACCTAAAACCAATCAAAGATCAACGTCCACTGATGTTAGACTTTGACGTTGTATAGACGTCACATTACGACGTTAAGATGACGTTGTATTTTGGTTAGTGAATTATACAAATTTAAACCAATCAAAGATCAACCTCTACTGATGTAAGACTTTGACATTGTATGGATGTCACATTTTGACGTTTAGACAACGTTGAACTTTGGTTAGTTAATTCCACAAGCTAAAACCAACCAAAGATCAACGTCCACTGATGTTAGACTTTGACGTTGTATGGATGCACATTATGACGTTTAGATGGCGTTAGGCTTTGGTTAATTAATTCCACAAGATAAAACCAACCTTAGATCAACCTCCACTGATGTTGCACTTTGACGTTGTATGAACGTTACATTATGTCGTTAAGATGACGTTGGATTTTGGTTAGTTAATTCCACAAATTAAAACCAACCAAAGATCAACGTCTACTGATGTTAGACTTTGAAGTTGTATGGACATCACATTACGACGTTAAGATGATGTTAGGCTTTGGTTAGTTAATTCCATAACCTAAAACCAACCTTAAATAAACGTCTACTGATGTTACACTTTGAAGTTGTATGGACGTCACATTATGGGCTCTATTTTGACGGTCCATGCGCAAAACGCAGGGCGCAAATGCTTTCTGGGCGTGTCAGGACGCGTTTTTGCTAATTTAAGGATGGGAAATCTGCCTTGCGCCGTGGCGCATGGTCTAAAAGGGTTGAGTTTATTTTCTTAATGAGTTGTAGGTGTGTTTTGAGAATAAACCAATCAGAGTCTCATCTCCCATTCCCTTTAAGAGCCAGCTGCGTCGCGCCAAGAGCGCATTCGCTATTTACAGGCTGCAAAGTAAGTCTTAGTGGAAAAAATGAGCATTTTACAAGCAAACAGTTACCAGTTTACAGTTTTTTAACAAAATAACTGTTAAACAGAGCATCTACTGCATGAGAATGAGAGTTAATAGATCATTTTCACTTTCGCTCTTGGATAGGGAAACCTTTACGCACAGACATCAATTAGTCTATAAATAAATACTTTTGTTTGTTAATCGCAAATATTCGTTTCAAAACTATTTCTAAATTCAGTTCTAATTTCCAGCAAACGAATAAATGAATAATAATAGCAAAATGTGCTCAAAAACCTGAGTTATATCCTAAAACACATGCTGTGCCCCATATGGTCTAAAACCAGACAGGTGGGCAAATCTAAGCTTGTTTTTAATAAAACAAATATAAATATGGATATAATAAATAATACTGCTAATAATAATAACATTATACAAAAGCAAATTGTTATGAATGAACTGAAAAAGCCTCCCGAGATGAAGAAGACATAAAAGCAGTAATTTTTCATATTTATGTAGGCTAGAAAATAATATGTTTTGTAATATTTTAATCCTTTATATTTATATCCTATATCTATTCTTATTATATCCTATATATATCCTTAATATTTACATTTTTTCATATGTAAAGATATTTGCCTATTGCTCTCTTGTGCATATTAAGCAGTGTGTAAGCGAGGCGCAACTCTGCGCTGGAGTTTAGACCGGGTTTGTTTTTGGTCTAATGAAAAATCTATTATAGTTTCTCAAAATAGCAACGCGCCAGCGGTCCGCCTCAGAACACCTTCCTTTTTAGACCAGAACACCTATGGGCGCACAAATGAGCGCTAATGCATTTGCTATTTAAACAGCGCAGCGCAACGCCTCAAAACGACTCCTGTGCCAAGCTTAAACTACCAAAAGACTACTGCGCCACGCCTTGTGCCACACTGCGCCGGGTGTATGATAGGGCCCTATGACTTTTAAATGACGTTAGACTTTGGTTGGTTAATTTCACAACTTAAAACCAATCAAAGATCAACGTCTACTGATGTTACGCTTTGACGTTGTATAGACGTGACATTACGACGTTAAGATGATGTTGGATTTTGGTTAGTGAATGCCACAAATTTAAACCAACCAAAGATCAACATCTACTGATGTTAGACTGACGTTGTATGGACGTCTTATTATGACATCATTTTGACATTAAACTGACAATGGATTTTGCTGCCTGACATCGCAACCAAAATATAACCAAATACCTACGTCATATGACGTAGTGCCTGCTGGGATGACTTGCATAATCATCCTAACCTGTTAACCTAAAAATTGGCAAAGTTATTAGATATTAGTTAATAATTAAAACTATTATGTTTAAAAATGTCTTAAAAACCTATGTTAAACATAAACATATTGGCATAGTCTTTACATAGTCTATTCAAATACATTTTAACATGCAATGTACTCCTCTTAATTAAACTAAAGCAGGACTTTATTAGCGTGTATTGTGCAGTCAGTGTTGACCTGTAAGTCTGTTTGTTGACTTTAGCAATCTTGTTGACCTTCAGTTTGACCATTAGCATGACCAGCTGATGTCAACTGTTTACATTAACAACAGTCTGAGCGTTCAGAAAGAACCCACTCTCCTTACCATTACGCGTCTGCTCTCTCCTTACTTCCAGGACATCCTCAATCATTGTTTTGATGACATCGAAGCGTTCATCGGGAAGCTGCAGCAGTCAGCAGAGGCTCAGATCATCCTCGACCAGAGGAGCAAAAAGAAGAAGAAAAACCAGAAGAAAAGTGCAGATGGTATGCTGAAGACAAAAAAAAACACAACCAGAGTGAACTCAGTTTGCTCAAGGGAAAGGCTATAACAAACCTGTAGTGTGCTCTTATCAGGCCTGTTATCAGTGCCTAGTCCATGTAGCTGATGGGAAAGTGTTGTGTCATGAGGCTGACAGCAGTATTTACCCTGTATGTGGATGAAAATTAAAATATTACTTTACCTGCATCATCCTAAACACACTTTAAAACTGAACCAATGCTGAAACCAAACCTGTTTATTTACACTTTACAATAAGGCTTTATTAGTTAATGTATTTACTAACATGACCTAATTATGAATATTGGTGTACACCATTCATTAATCATAGTTCAATATGCACTAATCCATTATTAACATCCAAATTAATGCTCTTTTACATTATACTAACAACGAACAACTGTATTTTGATTAACTAACATGATGAGATACTGTAATAAATGTATTGTTCATTGTTTGTTCATGTTAGTAAATGCATTAACTGATGCTGGCATGCTTTATTTTGTTGTGTTAAGAGCACAGATTATCAGTGTTTTAGAGAGTGTGATGTGTGCTTGTGTTTTACAGAGGATCTTCTCACGGCTAAAGCCAAACCACCTTCTGAGAGAGAGTTTATCGACACTTTTCAGAAATTCAAATACTGTTTGGGCCTTTTGGTGAGTGATTAATGCTAATATAAAAAAATTAAATAATAATAATAATAATAATAATAATAATAATAATATATTAAAATAGAATCATATAATATTATATTATAATTTTAATAAAATATTATTAAACTATTAACATAATATGATATATATATATATATATATATATATATATATATATATATATATATATATATATATATATATATATATATATATATATATGTAATTTATAATTTTTTAAAATGATGATCTTGTGGATAATTTGTTAATTTCAGTTTAATTAGCATTTTTTTACTTCATTATGTATAATAATATTAATAATAATAATGATAATGATATATTAAAATATTATAATATTATATTATATTTTAATATCATATTTTTTAATTATATTAATATAATATAATTTAATATAATAAATATATTTTATAATAATCATTATTAATAATTTATTTATAGTTCATTTTAATGATAATTTTATGGATAATTTACTAATTTCAGTTTAATTTGCATTTTATTTTTTCACTTTAATATGCATAATAATAATAATAATAATAATACATTAATCACACTTCAAAATAAACTATAATATAAACATATATTTATTTTTAATAACAAAAAATCCCTGAAAAATTACATCTCTAGTTTGTACTTTTTAAACTTTTACTAATTTCCTTTTTTTATTATTATTTTACTATTTTCTAGTTATTTATATGTTATAATAACTCCATAAATTATAATAATGTAAAATATTAATTCATAAATGATAAACAATTATGATTTACTAATATTTTAACATAATATTTTATTTATTATGTAGTTTTTATAATGGTGTAATACTGTTCCCAAATATGATCATCAATAGTAATAATAATAGTATTAATTTTAATAGTTCGTAGAGCTGTCAAACACAGACATGTTGCTACAGGCAGTATGGTTGCACATTTTTCCTTCAGCTCCCCAATAAACAGTGTTTATTTTACAGGCACGGTTAAAACCAGCCATCTCCAATCCATCTGCTGAGGAGCTCGTGCACCACGTTTTCAAACCTCTTGACATGGTAAAGAAGACACATTTCTCCAGTGCAAACATCAGGGCTTTCATCACACTGTATTGTTTTAAGCATTTCGTCAAATGGGTTTATCAGTGTTTGCACGCTGTTGTGGTAAAGGCTGCAGTAAAGTGCACACAGAGTAATTCACCTTGGTAACTGTGTGTTTGTAGATGGTGAAGGCCACAGGAGGTCCTGGTTTTGCTGCGTCCGTTTCCAGTCCGGCAATGACAGAAGGAGCTGTGAATCTGCTGAAGAACAACCTGACGACACAGGAAAATGCATTATGGCTCTCTTTAGGGCCCAACTGGACACACCAAAGGTAAATGATGGAGAGTAATGCAGTGCTGAAGATCTGTCCTTTTACCAGGACTCCCTGAAAGAAGAAGAGATTTCTGTTAATCCCAATGGGAACTTCCTAACCAAATATATGACTGACAGACTGACTGACTGACTGACTGACTGACTGACTGACTGACTGACTGACTGACTGACTGACTGACTGACTGACTGACTGACTGACTGAATGAATAAATGAATGATTTACTGGCTGAATAAAATATTTACTGGCTAAATGAACGAATTAATGAATGAATGAATGATTTACTGGCTAAATGAACAAATGAATGAATGAATGAATGAATGAATGAATGAATGAATGAATGAATGAATGAATGATTTACTGGCTAAATGAATGAATGATTTACTGGCTGAATGAATGACTGACTGAATGAATGAATGATTTACTGGCTGAATGAATGACTGAATGAATCACAGACTGACTGCATAAACAAATGAATGAATAAATGACTGACGGACAAAATGAATGAATGACTGGTTGAAAGAATGACTGACTGAATGAATAATGAATGAATGACTGAATAAATCATTGACTGAATGAATGAATGAATGATTTACTGGCTGAATGAATGAATGATTTACTGGCTGAATGAATGACTGACTGAATGAATGAATGATTTACTGGCTGAATGAATGACTGAATGAATCACAGACTGACTGCATAAACGAATGAATGAATAAATGACTGACGGACAAAATGAATGAATGACTGGTTGAAAGAATGACTGACTGAATGAATAATGAATGAATGACTGAATAAATCATTGACTGACTGAATAAATGACTGATCGAATGAATGAATGAATGAATGAATGGCCGAATGAATAACTGATTAACTGACTGAATGATTATATAACTGAATGAAGGACTGTCTGAATAAATGAATGACTGATTGAATAAACAATTAAATGAATTATTGACAAATTGAATGAATGACTGATTAAACTGAATGAATGACTGATTGAATGAATGACTAAGTGAATGAATAAATGAACAAATGAATGCATAAACGAATGCACAAACAGACTGGCTGAATGAATGACTGAATAACTGATTGAATGAATGAATGGACTCACTAAATTAATATATGATTGAATGAATGATTGACTGAATGAATGAATCAATGACCTAATGAATAAACGAATTAATGAATAAATTACTGACATAATTAATGAACGACTGGCTGAAAGAATGACTGAGTGAATGAATGACTGATTGACTGAAAGAATGAATGAATGAGTGAGTGAATGAATGAATGAATGCATGAATGACTGAATGAACATATGACTGAGTGAATGAATGAATGAATGAATGAATAACTGGCTGGATGAATATATGACTGAATGAATGAATGAATGAATGGATGAATGAATGAATGAATGAATAAATATATGAATGAATGAATATATGACTGAATGAATGAATGAATGAATGTATGAATATATGAATGAATATATGACAGAATGAATGAATGAATATATGACTGAATGAATGAATGAATGAATGAACGAACGAATGAATATATGACTGAATGAATGACTGAATGAATCACTGACTGACTGAATAAACGAATTAATTAATGTATGACAAAATAAATGAATGACTGCCTGAATGAATGAATGACTGGCGGAATGAATGACCAAATAACTGATTGAATGAATGACTCACTGAATAAATATATGACTGAATGAATGACTGAATGAATAATGACTGACTGAATGAATGAATCACTAACTTACTGATTAAATGAACAAATGAATGACTGAATGAATCACTTACTGATAAAATAAACGAACAAATGAATGAATTAAGGACTGACTCGTTATATAAAGTTAATTTATTGGAGAAGTTATTATCTTTTATTCTATTTAATTATGTTAAATAGCTTGCATTTTGTATAAAGGACACCTGATGTCCACAAATGTCAGTAATAATCAGTCCCTCTAGGATTTTGTTATTAATTTCCTCATATATCCTAAAATGAATGATTTTGTGAAGCTTTTCTGAAAACCCATGACATTATTTGCTTCAATTCTTGTGTTTTGCTTTAATTAAAGTGTTTTGCTGTAAGTGTTTTTAAATGTTAAGCATCACTGGATTCTCAAAGTCCTGTAGAGACTGAACAATTAAAAATGACAAGCAAGTTTTGAATTCCTGTGACTTCAAAACCCTGATTCTTACTGAAGTGTAGGGGTGAATTTACGTTACACCCCTACTATGAGCACATGCTGATGTCTGATATGGTTATGTAGGTCTGCCCTGCGGAGCCCGGTGGCGCCGTATACACTGCAGTTTCAGGACGGCTGGAAGCCTCAGGGTTCAGATGCTGCAGGCTGGATCGATCCTATAGAGTCAGAACACAAACACGATGCAGAGATCGCTAAAGTAGAGGTACAGTTTTACTACAACTATATACACTCACCGGCCACTTTATTAGGTACAACTTTTCAATTGCTCGTTAATGCAAAGTGCTACTCCTGTGAGAACAGGAAACTGAGGCTACAATTCACACATGCTCACCAAAATTGGACAGAAACACAAACACACACAAACTCCATTTCCCTGTGAGATCAGCATTTGAGATATATTTGCTTATATTGAGTTGCTGTTTTCTCTGTTACTCTCAGCTGACACCGGCTCCTGCTTCTGAACGCCACGCTTCTCCTGTTCAGACATCAGATCAACCGTAAGTCCGAATAACAGAAATAACAACAGCAAATCACACAAACATGAGCTTCTGATGCGTCTCAATGCCTTCCTGAATGCATCTCATGTTTCAGACACTGCTGTTGATAAAGGCACATTCCTCAGTATTTCTGACTGTAG